CTGAGGGACAGGAAGTGGCAAGAGTGCTCCAGGCATCAGATGCCAATTCAAAGAGTGTCTCTGGGAGAGCAGTCTTGGCTTGGAGGGGTGAGGTGCTACCTGCTATTGTGGAGAAACCTCCCCTATTGGGTTATTCAGAGTGAGCCGTGGAACGGAAACTTGCGCTGGGAATAGCGGTTTTTAATTCCCCCACCCAAGCCTTCATGGGCTGTGCACCCCAACGAGAATGACCGAGAATGAGCTGGCATAGACGGCGAGAAGAGGGGAACGAGGGTGATCCGAGAGGTTGAGGTTCTGGGCAAGAGAACAAGGCACTCTTTACTGGAGGTTAGAAATGAAGTTCAAAGAGGAGGTTTATTCTGGGGCTTGGTCTTGAACTTCAAGCGCTAAGACAGGCTATAGACAGTTGTTCCATAAACAATGCTGTAGACAGTTGTTCCATAAACAATGCTTATAGTCTGGGAGTTTAAGGGTAGCTCAAGGATGGGAAGATAGAAGAGGTAGAGTTTTCAAGGAAACTGGAGAAGTGGGGATCCTTTATGGCATCAGAGGAAAAGATTTAAAGGGAAATGAGGGGAAAGTCTGATGGCAAAACCATATAGAGTGCCAAGCTTTGAGAACTATTGCTTGAGAAGGACAGATGTACAGATGCAGAATAAACGGTCAGAGACAGAGGTACACTGATGTCCAATTTTACAAACGCCGGGAGAAGCATCATGTAAAGAGTAGGGGGTACTTAGTAAGCTGGGAGGACATGAAAGGAGAACCAAACCCCATTGCTGTTGACTAAACAAACTTGGGTTTGGGCAGAATTCCAGGGATTATGACCAGCAGGCGCCGACTGGTTCATTACATGATTTGCAGAGGGACACCACTGTCTACAGCCTGTGTCATGCTTCTTTCCTTGGAAGACTTTACATAAACCCTTAGTTCTATGTGCAAACATCACCAACAGAGGCTTTCTCTTTTCAACATCTCCTAACAAATCTCAAGGAAGTCCAAGGTCTGGGTCCACACACACGTGATGGGGAAAATGTCCTAAATGCTACACAACCCCCACCCCCAGCATCCTGGGGAAGGATTCATGACCAAGCACCCACTACCTAAGGAGAGAGGGAGCCCAGAGCCTCCTCCCCCTACTCACGCCCTCCATCAAGGCCGACGAGTCCCTGACTCTCCCACTGCCCAGCCCCAGTGCAGAGCAGCCTGTCTTCTAGAATGCCACTCTCTACTACATAGAATGCCTTCCCCAAGCCTGCCAGCTTTCTTTGAACAGAAGAGCGCAGTCTTGGGGACAAGGGAGGTCAGGATAGGGACAGTTCCAGAAGACCTTAGCATCTGGACAAGCTAGACCTGCCGTCATCCGGACAAGCCTGGCTCCTGAGAACGACGGTCTCACCAAGTGGACATGCTTCCATTGGACCCACAGTTGCTACCACAGAACACACATGTGGAGGACACAGAACTGCAGCCGGCGGGACGATCGCCTCAGAATGCGGTCTGGGGAGAAGGCTGTGGCCACAAGAAGACGCGAGCGTGTTCGTGAAAACGCGCGAGCTGTCTCCTGGGATCAAAGCCTTCCATGGAAGTCCACAGAGAAACGTTCCGATTCACCTCAGATGTTCTCCCCACCGCAGGTCAGGAACCTTCCACTCTGTAGGAACACGGTGGAATTTTCTACCCCGAGACTTGGGGGCTTTCCGGGGGCCTTTGCACAGCCCACTGTCACTGCACGAGGGAGCCCCTGGCCTGCAGGAAGGACCCGTGCTCAGGAACTGACGGGTGAGATGACGTGGTTTCCAGGTCTTTTTTTTTTTTTCGTTTGAGATCATGAGAAGTAAATGAAACAAGATTGAAATAATGCACATCCAGCTTGGTGAGGGGCACACGGAGTTTCACTACATTTTCTCTTTTCTTTCATGTGTGTGAGATTTCTGTAATGAAAAGTTTTGTCACGCTGTTGTCTTGGTAAATAACATGGGTAAGTTGTTGTACGTCTATGTGCCTTTCTTTGAACATTTATCGATTGATGCTTATCTTTAGGTTTGTTATCTGGTGCTTAGTTCCTCTCTCCCCTCTCTGGACAGAGTCTTTGCCCATGTTTTAAAATCGGACAGCCGGTCCTTTATTTTACTGTGTAGGTTCTTTTAAGAATAATAGAGCCTTTTATTCAGTGCAGTTAAATGTTCTGTATTGTTGTTTCTTAGTTTGCATTTTATCTTTATGATGTTTTCATTTATATTTATTTTTAAACGTTCAGGTAGAGGTACTAGTCCATTTTTTCCTTCTTGGGCTTTCTCTTTTGCTTCTGGTGTCCTGTTTAGATCATTTGCCTTTAAAATGTGCTGCTTCTGAAATGACGACAAGATAAAGTATTTTATTGGTCCAAAACAGAACAAAACAAAACTCTGCCTTCTAACGTTCCCGGGGCTTCCCGGCTGTCGCTCATCCCCTGGCTCCCACTCCCTCGGCTCGCCGGCCTGAGTGAGCTTCTCCCACCTGTTGGCTACAACCAGCAGGGGTTCTGCACCCCAGGCCGGTGGTCTCCGTGGCTCCCCCCACCTGCTGCTTCATGATGGGGAGGAGGTGGCTCGCAGGCCAACGCTGCCATGAGCGCCCCTTCCTTCTCCCCCGCTGTACCTCTTTGTCGCCCCGCCTTCACCTGCCCCACGCTGACACCATCTGCCGCCACCCTGGCGACCCTGCCGCAGTTCTGGGATCTGTGATTTCTTTGCCCACAGGTAAGAAAGGCCTCGTAATGCGGCGCTCAGGTAAAATGGCGTCTCAGCCCAGTCCCCTCTCAGAGACCGGCGGTGCTGTCCGCTGCCTGCGAAATGCTGTCTGACGTCTGTGGGGACATCCTGTCAAGGGCTTTCTCCCGCGACCTCCTCTGCCTCCCAGCATGTCCCGCAGGGTCCCCACCCGCCGCACCCTCTCAGAGGCCCTTCTGCTGGGCGTGGAGCATCTGGACGGTCATTGTCTCCCCTGGGGCTCTCCACGCACCCCCCCTACACCTGCTTCACCCTTCAGAGCTTCTCCTCCCGGAAGGCTCAGATCCTGTGGCGTCTCCACCACCACAGCCCTCCAGTCCCCTCCCTTAGAGTCCATCCCTGCTCTCTCCAGGATCCCGCTCAAGGTCACCCGTCCCCTGCCTGACCCGTGACGCGACTCATTCACTCCGAGTCCTGGCCGAGGGCGCTGGGCTAGTCATCATGGTGTTCCCCAGTGCCCTGTTCAGAGGGGGACCGGGAGGGACTCTTAGCTTCATTTAAAGGCCACCGTCTACAGCACATTTGTGCTATTGACTCGGCTCCGGGTTTGTCTCCTCCATGAGCCAAATTTCTGTTTTTATTCAGGGAGTAACCTTCTGACTTATAATCCAGATTTTAAAAATGGACCCCCGTGTTCTTCCCCTTTTGTTAGATTCCTGGTCTTCGCAAGACGTCCATCTAGCCGTGGGCATTTGTCTTTTGCCGGTCAGCACTAGTCCCCCACAAACACCCACACTTCCACAGCCCTCCCCACGCGGACCCCGGTCCGTCCCCAGCACTCTGCAGCGTGGACACCCGTTCCACAGCCGACCCTCTGCTGACCTGCCGGCCTGGAACTCCAGCTCGTGACCAGCTCAGAGTCCCACGTTCCCTTCCAGCGGGTTTAGAACCCAGACCCCTCTGCTCCTGCGGCACCGGCCCCCGCCCCGCACCTGTGACCCGGTCTCCCCCACACCGCGCCCCAACCTGTTGGACTTGACTGGGGCTTCCGGCCGCGGCCCGTCTTCCCCGCGACCCGCGCTGTCGGCCTGTCACGTTCCCGGTGGCGGCCCCCAGTCTGCCCAGTCTGGACGGAGCGAACCACTTCCGTGCCAAGGCGTCTGCGTATGTAACAGGAAGACGGATCAGGCCTTGCTGTGTGTCGAGGGGTCGTGCGGACCCCCCGGAGGAACTCACTCACGCCTGCTCGTGCAGAAGCGTGCGGTGACTCGCCCGCGGTCTTCCGTGCAGGAGGCCTGCGGCCGCTCAGTCGCTTACACCCTCCTGGTCAATTACGGTTTTAGGAAAGAGCAGCAGCCGCTTCGGGACTTCGGGCCTCTGGCTTGAGCTCGTGCCATCAGGTGAATCTCCTCTCTTCAAGTGTCCATTTTTATGAGCAAGTCACTTGTAACGCCGTTTGGCCCCTCTCTGCCCGGCGCTGCAGTCAGGGCCCATCTTGCCTCCAGGGCTGTCACAGCTGCTGGGGGGCCGCTAGCAGCGGAGATGGAGACCAGGGGCCCGACACAGGGCAGCCCCACGGCCGACCGGGAGGTGGCCCAGAGTGTCCGCCGTGCGGAGGTAGGGAAACCCAGCTTCCATCTTGAGCGATCGTCAGCAAAAGCCTTTGGCGCCTCGGAGGTGTTTCTGTATTATTTCGGTGGGGGACGGAAATGTCCCCATGCTGGCTGTTTCTCCTCTGGGCTCGGTTAGGAGCTGGTGTGCTGGGAATGCGCGGCCGCCCGACCTCTCCCGCATGGACCTCCACCCCGTCCCTTCCTCCCTCGGTGCATGCGGTGAGCGCGTGTGGATGGGCTCACGCAGCGTCCACGCATCCTGAATCCCCGCCCTGCCTCCCCGCGACCCCACAGAGGAGGCACCAGGTTCCCTCCGTGGCCATTCAGGGACCCCGTTCACTCTGTCGTCCCCGTGCTTCTCCCTCCACCGTCGCTGCTTCCCCGAACCATCCTAGGCCTCTAGAAGCCCCCACCGCCCCCTGGCCGCGTGCCAGCTCGGAACAGTTCCTCGTTACCCCTTTATTGCTTTTTCCCGCGCGTTTCCTCTTTTATGACACAGAATCGCAGTGGTAGTTTGTGTTTCCTGCCCCCCTGAGAGATTTACTCCCCAGAGGCATTTACTGACCACCCCGTCAGTCCACGAACGGTGACGACTGGCGCTTACCGCGGCCGGTACCCAGCTTGTCTCGTTGGGGGCGGGACACGCTCACCTGCTTCTTGGTGTTGACCTCCGCAGGTTTACCTGAGGAAGATGGACTCTGCGGGTTGTCTGTGAGCAGCTCCACGACCTCCTCGTTTCAGAGACCGAGAGAGAGCCACACCACTCAGGTAATGACCCTGCGTCGGCCCGGTTACAACAGCGGCGGGAACGAAGCCAGGAGCAGGCCCTGGTGAAGGTGGGACCAAGGGCGTATGTCCCCCCGGTCTGGAGAACACGCTTGTTCTCACTCTGGCCCCAGGTGTCTTCGGCTCCACATCCTTCTCTCTCCTCCTCTGTCTCAGAGACGCCAGCTTCCTGATGGTTAGAAAGAGAAGAAGGAGAAGAATGTCCAAAACAAACAAAATTAATACATACTTCTAAGTGGGATATTGTAGACGTAATTTGTGTTGTGGCATTTTAAAGTCACCATCACGGGAAGACGACATTACATCCCGGGAGTGATGCTAACGCGTTCTCTGCACTTGACCCAGGACTCTGGGTGCCGGTGGCAGGGGAACACAATGCTTGAGGCACCTGTGGCTTTATGCCACCAAATCTCAGTGGCCAGCTCTGAATTCCACATAACCCAGACTGATTTATAATATAGTATACGGGGCACCCGGGAGAGCACGTGGCTCTTGATCCTGGGGTGGGGAGTTCAAGCCGCCCGCTGCTGGGCGCAATGCTTACCTAAAAAAAGTAGGTAAAGAAAAGAAAAGAAAATATACCAAATGATCAGAACGCTATAAAATCAAAATGAGATCACAGCTCGCAAAACTGTTTTTGGTGGGTTTCAGCAGTTTTTGTGTATGTGCTTAATGTGTCTGACCTTGAAAAGTTCACCAAATAAGGATGATCACTTTGAGGAAACAAAACACTAGGGTTTTTAGAAAGGGAAAGGATTTCTATCATATACTCTAGTGTTCTTTTTATGTTGAATTTTTAAACATACTTTTAATCATCATCTTCAAAAAGATGAGTTTGCAGTCAAGGTGACACAACCAACGATGTATCCAAAAGCTCGTTATCGGCATATTTAAGATGATTGCTTTGCCAACAGTGTTCTTACTTTGCATGAAGCTATGGTACAGCTTTCGTGATGTCAAATATCTACATAGAAATCTTTAAAAAGGGGCACCTGGGTGGCTCGGTCAGTGAAGCATCTGCCTTCGGCTCAGATCATGATCCCCGGGTCTTGGGACCCAGCCCCAGGTCTGGCTCCCTGCTCAGCGGGGAGTCTGCTGCTCCCTCTGCTTCTGCCCCTCCCCCCTGCTTGTGTGTGCGCTCTCTCTCACTCTCTCTCTCAAATAAATAAATAAATAAGATCTTTTTTTAAAAAAAGTCTTAAAAAATAAAGTCAGCCGCCTATCTGGCTGTTGCCGTAAAATCAGTAGTCCAGCCAGAGCCGTGTTTTCATATGAATATTCGGCCTTCTACAGACGGGTCCCTTGTTATCAGCTGAGATTTTTTCTAAATAACACTGAAGAGGGAGCGAGAAAAATCAATAACTTCAATCTTAAAACTAAATCTTTCGGTAGGCAGTCTGCTGAAATCATTTACAGTGACATATAGGTGCTGGAAAAGGAAGAAAACGTGGGCTGGGTGCGGTAACAGAGCCTCCTGATCTCCCCTCTGTTCCTCGAGATGCATTTGCTTCCCTCTGCAAGCCTCACAGACACTTTATCTCAGGCCGTTCCCAGAGGGCACTGACTTGTAATGAATGCAGGTTTGGTTTTTATTATCATAAGACTGATTCCTGCGCCTTAGAGCACAGCGGTCCGCCCTATCCAGGGCTCCTGCTGCCATGGGGTTCGTAGAGAAAAGGGTGATTTTGCAAGAAAGTGCATAAGGTGGGCATCTCTTTTGTGGATTTGGCTAAGAAGCCAAGAGAGATGGGAAAGAACCTCGGGAATAAGTTGCCATTCCTCCTTGTCAGTGGGGGCTCAGGTGGAAACTCTCTGCCTTCAGTTACCTCATGGTGCCTTTTTTCAAGGAAGCAGGAAACCAGGCTCGTCGCTTCCCTGCAAAAGTGCACGCGCCCTCATGGGAGGACACATTTGTCATTGCTGAGAAGCACTAAGACTTATGTCTCATGTGGCATTTCTACAGGAAACGTGGACACCTATAGACATATCACCTTTTAGATTTTCTACTGATGCAACTAGGTAAGAATTCTCTAAAGTCAGTCCCGGACCGAGTGGGTATATAGCGGTAAAATTAATGTTGACTACAAACGGAATTGCTCGTTGCAGACGTCTATAGTCTAATTAGCATCATCCATGATTTTAGTGAAATCTCTTTAAGAAAGACAAAATGCACGGGTGTTATCATACATAGAGAAAACAGGAAATCGATTTGGTAACTTGCCAAAGATCATGGCGAAAATTCAGAGTGTGTGCTTGGAATGGATGCCAAGACCCTATGTCCTATTTCTGAGAATGAATTTACCAAAACCCATTAATAAGAATGGAAGAGTCATCCAACTTTTTCATAAAATTTGAATTGTTGGCCAAGACAAAAATCAAAGTAGCTGTGGCAGACATCTCTGACTTGGCTTTTTAGCCGTCAGTCACATGTTAAGTTTTCTCACAATGAAAATATAAGGGGAGAGACTCACCCTCCTTCCATCCCTTGAGAGTAAGACAAAAACCGGTGAGGTGGGCTCGGTCGGTTTTAGATTAGATTACGGTTAGATTATGGAGTGAGAGACATATGATGGGAAGCACGAGAAGAGTAGATGTCGCAAGGGGGTGACATGTGGCTGAGGTGGCTCCCTTCTGTGACAGGTGTTAGGCGGCATAGGACCACAGCCAGCCCCTGAACCCACTTCGGTCCTGCCCCCTCGTTGCCACGCTATTCCTTCTCAATCCATGCCTTTCTGTCACCTTCCAGTACTCCACCTGTTCAGGTGTCCGGAGTTTTTGTTGCTTGCAAATAAGAATTTTGACCGACACTGATAGAGATATAAACCTTTTCTGATGAAGGTCTCTCCTTGATGAATATTAGTTGTTGCTTTCCTCGAGGTGTGGCCTAGAGACAATGCAGTTAATGTCCTATTCCGTTATACAAGTTTTACAAATCTGTAACACAGAACGACCTTACATAAAAGTAGTAAAAATAGGGGCGCCTGGGTGGCTCAGTGGGTTAAGCATCTGCCTTTGGCTCAGGTCATGATCCCAGGATGCTGGGATAGAGTCCTGCATCGGACTCCCTGCAGGGAGCCTGCTTCTCCCTCTGCCTGTTGCTCCCCTGCTTGTGCTCTTTCGCTCTCTCTGACAAATAAATAAATAAAATATTTTTTTTAAAAAAGTAATAAAAATAAATTTCACTTGAAATATTTGAAAAGCTTAAGAGCTGGGACGTGCACCCATCCTGAATGTGGCTGAGTTCCCACGTGCTCCTCCCAGGGAGGGCTTGGCACGTCCCTGCTGTGAGCAGAACAGCACAGTCACAGCCTTGCAGGGCACTCAGCGCGGGGACACCAGCAGTGAGAGTGCGATACCAGGCGGTCGGATGTGCCGGCCCTGCCATGGGGGCGGGGTACGGGGGACTTGAGGGCCCTTTCCACCACTCAGCTCTGGAATTTCATAGGCTGTAAAAGTCACTTCAGGTTAGGTTTGAAATTAGACAGTATTTATAAAAATCATATGCCATTTATCCACTTGCTATTTTGGGAGATGTAATCAGTTTTTTACAAAAAATGCGTGCCATTTAGCGCCATGAGACCCTTCTGAAGTAGCTGGGCGTGAGGGGACCCGGCAGGGAGTGAAACGCTGAGACACCTTCCAGCCCGGGGTGACTCAGCATTTTTTGCTGTGCTTGCCATCCGCAGACGGCCGGGAAACCTGACACAGGATCCCCACGGATTATAAATAGAGCAAACGTGTGAAGCATGCGGCGGGCGGGGGGCTAAAGGCAGGAGGGTCCAAGGAGGGGATGGAGAAAATAAAATGCTGGTTCTTGCCCTCGGACTGAAGTGGCGGATCTGCCTCTGCTCAGGGCTCTGTGCTGCACATGCATGAGCCCTTTCCTCCTGTCGTTTGAACATACCTTATTGGTTTTTGTTTGTTTATTTGTTTATATGGAATATCTTGTGATTGCTGGGAGTCTATGGATTTTAGCACGTAGATTCTTTTTTATCATTACTAACGTACAGTGTATTATTTGTTTCAGGGGCACAGGGTGTGATTCTTCAGCCTTACACGATTCACAGCGCTCCCCCCAGCACGCACCCATTATTCGTTTTTATGTCCGCCTTTTCGCTTTTCCAACTGGTACATCACGTCGTTTTACTCCCCTCGGGTGTCTATTCTCTGCAGCGATACTGCGTAGTTTAGGATCTTTGATTTTCACTGGAGGCATTTATGGTATTCCTTATCGAACTTTGTGTTATAATTTTTTAAAGAGCATAAAAACTTATTATTAATATCTGTCATATCCACATACTCCTTGTCAGAAACCACAGAGGCTCTCTGATAAAACAGTGGCAGTCTAGCCCCCGAGAGCTTAACAAATAGGCAGCCCGCTCCCGGCACAGCCACCGAAGAAAGCCGCACCGTAATCAATGTACAATTGATCCGCAATCAAGAGACAAATTGTTATGCGTTTTGTTTTACTGAACCATCCAAGAAACCCTTCGGTAACGTCACATATCAGCAAAATGAAGTGTTGCGGGGCTCTAAATCAAGCCAGCGCCTTCCTGGCGTATCCATTGTATCTGTCACGTGGACTGCCTGAAATGTGTCCTGGCAGGGAAAAGAAACAGTGTGCTAGGAAAAATAACGAAACGTAGACACATTTAGCTCAGTCATTAAGGGATCATTCTAAAGCACATGGTAGGAATTAGAAATTAGATAAGCACTTCGAAAGGAAACATGTATGTATTTCATTTGTAAGCTACAAACAGAAGCTGGTCTCACAGGGACAGAAAGCCCTTCCAGGCAGCAGGGGTTTGGGGAAATCAGTATGCACCCCTCGTGACTTCCATATTTCGCGCGAGAAATGAAGGCAGTAAATTAATTTGATAGTATGAATGGCAGTGTTTTCAACAGAGAAGAGAGCAATCCTACCTAGATTCATAGAAACTTGGAAAATAAAAAAACAAAACCAGGTCTTATATTTGTATTTT